CCATAATACCTCCAGTTTCTGACTGAAAGGTTGTCAATAGAAACAATATTAAAAACAAAGGAAAATTCATAATTTCACAAAATGTATAAAAAATCTTACCTTTAAGCCACAATGCCCAGGATAAAGATTTCTTAAAAGAGCAAGGTGTGTTCTACTTCTACCGCTGTTTTCTCTGGCTTGCATCTCACAGTAAACTACGCCTGCATCCTCTCCCTCTCCATTGACATGGTGGACCTCTGTTACATAACCAGATTCCTTTTGAAATAAAACATGTCTTTAACTTAAAAGTTATCAAATTCATTAATAATTTATAAGGAAAACACACTGGAAAATCATGGCTGTGACCGAATTTTTATATGATTGAGCAAGAGATTTGTCCTGATTTGTATATGACTTTAACTTCGATTTTCTCTTGAAAATGATATCTTATCTTTGAAGGTTTTTGTAAAATATGCTTTAGCATATTGGAATTTGATAAACAATATAAAATATTTGCATCTGACTTTGATGAGCTTTAAAACTGCTCGCTTGCAGCTCACAGTTTTATATACCCATAAAGCTCTCCCGCTCATATTTTATATATTACTAAATAAAACACTTCATTTAAACCTTTAAATACACAGGAGGTTTTAGTTTCATTCAAACGTAATGTTCAAGCATACAGTACTTTACTTACAGTAAGTGTAGCATAGAGGACATGGTCAAGATAGATAGGAAGCAGGTTAATAAAGCCTTCACTACCAGCTGTCTCTATGGTGTAGCAGGTATGATCTGTGGCYGTCCARGCATTAGTACCYTGAGCCAGGCACCGATTGGCCAACAAGTCCAATAATCCCTAAAATAATAAATTCTCATTATCATTAGCAATTGCTCTGAAATTCAGGGACCGAGTCATTTGAACATAGTACACTTCTAAGTCATGAACATACACACAAATTGTACATTAGAAGTTTATGTGTTAAAGCAAAGTATAAGAATGTGGCAGAATGGTGTTGTTTGATTGCTGCACAGACAAGCATCAGAATGTTTAATAATAATTTATAATAGATGCCACCAATCAAAACCACTGACATTGGCAAGAAGACCAGMGTACTTTGGTTGATTGACAGCAATCCATTGACACAACTCTTGACTGGATTGTCACATACCAATGCACATATTGGTAAAACTACAATCTAAATATTCAACATCAAAACAATAAAAATATTTTACCTTGTAAGGATAATCTTCACTACCCATAAACACCAGGTGTTCCAGGGTATGAGGAAGACCATCATCGTCATGGGCTTCAGTTGCTTTAAGTAAACATATTGAAATAGAAATATTTACACTTATTTTCTAAAGGGGGTGGGGTAAGGCTGTATGTTACATAAATAATTTAAAAAATAATAATAATAAATAAATAAATAAATAGATAAAAAAATAGTATACAATAAAATTAATAACGTCCGATCGAAAGTTGATTAAAATGCTATATAGAACCAGGAATATCGAGAAAAAGATTTTTTCGTGTCTGACAGTTAATAACGTCCGATCGAAAGTTGATCAAAATGCTATATAGAACCAGGAATATCGAGAAAAAGATTTTTT